TGCAACAGATGGCACGCATGTACATACATATGCAGGCGTATATGCGTAAAGGCACACTGGCAGTCCATATGCCCGTATGGAGTTTCGGTTCAGTACTCAAATGGCTTCACATTCTGCATTGTTGGAAAGAGTGCCGTCAGTGTAAGGTGCGAGGCAGACACCGCCACAGCAGTATCGGTGGGACTAGTACGACTGGTTGCTGACTGTCCAGTTCACTTGATGTGTGCTTGCTGGTCACAAAGTGGACGGCACCCACGTTTCAAAGGAGTGGCCCAGATGCGCCATCCCCTATAACAAACACGGTTGTTCCAAAAGGGTTACAATTGTGACCGAATTAACACACGTGTCAGCCATCATTGTCGCCCATGCCTTCGCTTCCATGTGTTTCTTCTCCACCCATGCCACCAGCTTCTCTACTGACAGCACATTCCCCTCCGAGCATGCAGTCGTCGAGCGGATACAGTGTATCCTTCTGCAACCATCCTTGAGACTTGTGCCGGTATGAGCCGGCTGCCTTGTAACCCTTTTGGAACCACCCAGACCACACAAAGGGTTTAAGACAATAAGCCTCCCATTGGGTATTCACCCTAATCAGCCCTGGCAGCCGGTACTCTGAATTAATGCGACACACACGTGAACCCGCCCCCTCCATCGCCAATCCCCATCATCACAAGGCCACCTGATTTGCCGCCTTAAGGCAAGCTTGTGTATGGCCCTCTACAAGACGGGGGGCCCGGTGAGGTCAGCCGCCAGTAGCTCCTTGTACCCAGGGCGGGAAAACACCTTGGGGTAGACGGGGCCGAATGTTAACGAAGCAGCCTCTACCCACAGAAGCCCCCCTATGGCATAAAACGGGGGGTAACCCCCCCTTAAGCGTAACCCAGGGTGTAGGGTTAGGGGTTACCCACGTGGCTATGTACGAAGGGAGGTGGGTAACCTAACCCCGGGGTAGGGTAACCCCTTACCGAGGGGTAACAAAGGGGTCGGGGTAATACACTACTGATGGTAACAGACAGGGTAACCCATGTTTACATTCACCTGCACCTGTCTCGCCTGTCTACACACGCAAACATACATGTCTTCACCAATCA